AACAATCGATATCACTTCGTTAAAGTAATCAATTAACTTGTTTAGACAGAGATTTAATAGGTCTTTCTAATAAAAGAAATTCCTCGTGTTTGTACTCCACTCTGACCAGTTCTGCTAATGAGTTATTTATTTAAGAAGGAAAAGTGATTCGTTTTTGTTAGGGTTTGAGAGAAAAGAAAAGTTACTTGTCTTCGGGTTAATAAATAATCAATAGATATAAGTGTTACACATGGCATGAAATACAACAGAATGAGTCACTATTATGGATTTAGAAAGTAACTATAACAAGAGATCAATATCCAAAATGATACACATTATAACACTCCTAATCTCCAGACAGATCTCCCTCAACGTGTTACCGCGTGATTTCCATTATTCTTCACGTGATCACGCTTACAGCTAGTTTATTATGACGATTGTCTCATTACTGTGATAATTTATTATGCATTTCACGAGTTGCTCTTGTTCCTATTATAAGCTTCAACCAATTTACGTTCTTCAAGAATATATTAAACAGACAGCTACCAACAATTTTTTATGTTCCTATGTCTTACGAGATCATGGAACCATACGTATTAAAAACTTACTACATATTTATAAGTGTAGCTTCGTGTATCTAAATATAACTATTAGCTATCAAATTCTAAGCTATCAATATTTGATTCTCTTGTATACACAATGCGTTCTACTCTTGAATTCCTACATCAATTTTGCACTCTTTAAAATAAACAGATGATATTGGAGCCAAGTTTTGGGTTATAAAGCTTCGACTTTCAAGTACAGATTATTGAAATGAAACTGTAACAAGAAGCAGTAGTTTATGATTAATTATTAAAAAAAGATGCGTACAGTGTGAAGGTAGTTCGTGCAATTGTTTTAGGTTCCAAGGGAGCAATCTATTTTTCTGGATTAAAAGTTCACGTCAACTATTACATTTTGCTTGCAAAATATTATGAAAATTGCCTTGAAACTGAAAAAAAAAAACAAAGAGTGTTAGGAACGTCTGCCTGGGATCTCGTAAAATGGCGCCCACGCGTCTCATCTGCCCTGTCACGGCTCTCTGTCATTGATGCCTCAAATCATCGCGCGTTCGTACTTCGATCGCCACGAGTCGCGAATAAGACCTCCATGTACTCGATGATACAAAGCCTAACGTAATCGTTTTACCGTATCGTCGTTGAGATAAAGTTTAAAGCGGCTTAAGGCGCCACGGGCAGCTATCGCCACGATCGGCAGCTCCAAATTCCTCGGCGACGACTTGCAAACTTTATCCACCGGGTTCGGGATCGGCGTCTGTCACTGCTCTGCCTCGGCCACGACTCTCCACTTTCATTTTTATTCCTTTATCTTCCACATTCTGTTGCAGAGGCGATACATCGCCCGTGCGTTTCGTGACTCGAGGGGTCAAAGGTCACGATGGTAAAGCGTGCCAATTTTTTGAACCTGTCACTGCGGTCGATCAGATTAGATTGGAACCGCGACATCGAACGCCGCAAGCTGGGAACAGTGTCACGTAGTTCGTGGCAAATATAATTTTTAATCAGATTAAATGACTGACAGTGTCTCGCGACCGAATGGAGAACATTATAATTCTATGGAAAGCAACAAGTGTAACGACTCTTATATACAGTGGGTGTAGAAAGTATTCGTACATCGATCAATTTCCAAAAAAACTGTGTAAAATTGTAATTTATTAACTTATTTTTTATAAACAATGACATTTTGCATGTTCTAGGAAATCTCTAGAATAAATAGATAACAACAAAAATAGCTATTTATGTAAGTTGCGAAATTAACAAGAAAAAAACAATTAATCGATAGAAATATTGAAGCAATAACTATTCGCACAACTGTTTAAAAGTACCTTCCTGGAAATTTGATGTTTTTTAATTCGCACGGAGCAATAAACTAATGTGTTTACGTTACAAACTCTGCTGTAAATGATTCCTCATAAGAATCGTACAAATACTTATTGCTTCTATACTTTTATCCACTTTTCGCATTTTTTTGTTAATTTCACAAATTATATTAACTAGTAAATGTTGTTTGGACTATATCTATCTTAGAGACTTCCGAGAATATGTAAAATATCATTGATTATAAAAAAGGAAGTTAAGAAACTACAATTTCACACAAAAGTTTTTTGGTAAATTGATCGGTGTACGAATACATTCTACACCCATTGTAGTTACTTCAAAAAGTGTCAATGTCATATATTTACTCTACTTGAATAATCTCACGGTTAAAGTAGTTAATTATATCAAGTATGCCTCATATAATGAAGTATTTGTTAATTGTTTACTTTTTCTCCGAGACCCTACTAGTACAAAGGAAATATTTCTTTGGCAGCAAGAACTTCTGAAGTGGCGCAACCGAAAAAAGTTGCGCCTTATTAATACGGATAACGATGGTTCTGCTGCAACTACATCTTGAATTACTTGAACATGTTGCGTAATGGTTGTCTCTAGCTGTATTTGGATAACGAATCGATTGTTAAGCTGTCACGATTCATATAAACTTTCGCAATCGTTCGCAAGTAAACAATAGTTCAGTGACCTGCTAGTGAAGTTGCAATGACTACAATGACGAGCAGAAATGGTATGGCATGGACCTGAGATGACCATAATGCGACTAGCGAGAAATTTACGGTGCCATTCTTGTAATTAACAGACCGTTGCTTTTTTAACTGAGAAGTGTTTTATTATAAATGAAGCAACTGCATTTGGTCATGGATTCCATGAAGAACATTAGAAATGTGACTGCATATATGAATTAAATAAATATAAAGTATCAAATTTGAACATATTTTTTTTTTTTATCAAAAAATTAAATATTGAGAGTTTATGCTTGTTCCTGCTTGAAAGTTATCTGCTTGAAGTTTCAATTTAAATGTTGGCAAAATCCACTTCGTGAATGCAGTTCTCGAAACTTGTTACCTTGACCACTTCTGATATAACCACATATCAGTTTCACGTTTGTTTATGTTTTTTAATCTTCGAACGCCTCGTAAGTCTTTGCATTTTCTTGTCTATGTAATTTTTATTCTTGAAAAATGTGTACTTTCCAAACTTTGGTCATTTAAAATGTAGCCTTTTAATATCAGAGAATTTTAGAAATTATGTTTAAACCGTCTATCAAATGAAGCATAATATTGTATGTACTTTGTACTAATTACAAAAGTACATCTTTGTTTATGTATCATTGTTCGTTTTTAGATTGAGTTACAGGAGTACTGAAGTTTTGATATTCTTGCGCCACCATTGAGAACAAAAGTATAATTCTACGATTAAAACCATAATTCACTCCTCATACAATTTAGACCTTGCCGTGTCCAAGTATCATCTTTCCCGAACAATGGCGCACTTTTTGTGCGGGAAATAATTCAACAATGATGACGACGTCATCCAAAGAATCCTCCAAGAACGTAATTAATTTCAAAATGATCGCAGCAAACAATAAATCACCGCATTTGAAATTATATTATCTGGTAATTCTAACTTACTGAATAGAAATTTTAAAATCTTCATATTTTAAAAAATCATATAGAGATCATCATAGAGAGGTCTCCATAAATATTGTGTTTCAAAATCTTAATTTATTAAATCACAATAACTATAAAATATATGTAATTTCTAATAGTGATACAAATTATACTTAGAAGTGGGTTATCAGTCAGGAAAGGTTGAAAAACACTGCTTACAAAGATAATACGATATTAGTGTAAAATAAAGTTACGAATTGTGAATTGAAGATAGAAATACAATATCTCTTCATATCGTTTTCTGATATGCCGAGAATAAATGATTTGTATGATATATAGCTTTTATATATCTGTAGGCCCAAACTTTCCATAAATAAAAATGATTCAAACAAGGCAGACCCTGACGAAATTACCTGCTACTGTTACCGTCACTATGTACGTTACAATTTTTCTTATCGCTCTTATCTGTAGATGTCAAGCGTGTACGTGACGTCACATGTCAAATACATTTTTCGTTCGATACTTACTGTAAGTCTAGTCTAAAATTATTCCTGTGCCTAGAGCAGCTCTTCATCATCGGTTAAAATACGACCCTTGCGTAGTTCACGAAATGATCAATAGTGATCAAGATTCAGGCGAGCCTGGGGCCCTCTTTAGAACGCGCACGGAATCATTCAATGCGACTACCAGTTAGCTTTACCTGCAATCGCTGCACTGCGTGATTTTCATTCAAATTACTTTTAACTATTAGATACAAATTTCGAATAACGAATAAGATAAATAATTGTAGCAGGTATTCTGTAAAAAATCAAATTTAGATACTTTATTTAATTTTCCTACAAATTCTGAAGTGTATCTTTCTATGTATACTCTATATTTTTTCTCTTTACTTCTCTATATCTGTAACTATTACTTTCTTCACTCATACTAATCTGATGTTTAATGCGTTATTCATCTACTTATATATTCTAAAGATATTAGTTTATACCTTCGAAGAGTATACATCTACTTTCACATGATACTCTAAATTTTCATCAGCAAAGATGTTGACACTTACACTATAACAGTTTTTAGAGCCACCTAAGCCATTCCCAATCGTTAGACTTTGCTTTTATCAGTTATCTGTGATTCGAATGAAATTTTTCTTATCTACGAAACCATCACGAAACGTTATAAAAACGATGGGAGCGCCATGCGACCGCGTCAGGGAACTACAAACTAGCTATAGTCATCACCGAAGAACCTGGTCGATGAAGAAATATTGTCACTGGCTGTATACCTACTAGACCGGTTCAATAATGGCGGCAACGCCATCACAGACCACGTACTTGTCTGCAGTTGCGTGAAAGTCACAGGAACTGGTAACTGTTGAAATCTCTTCGAGATGCAGGGAAGTTGGGGGCGCCAAAGTCTTCTTCCGATATCGTTCAGGTTCAAATTATGTCTGGCTCGGTGGAAGCGCATGCGCGACTCTTCAGCATCGACATGAGAACGCCAAGTCGAAATTTCCTCAGTTCTCGAGTGGCCGGTTTGAGAAGGGCTGCCACGAGAGGAATAATTTGTTCTGTTCTGTCATCCGCGCCTGCGCTTCCCTTCGTCTACAAACTCATTTCGGGACGATTCACGACAACGTCACTGGAAGCTACCTTCGTCGACGATGTCGTACTGCACCCGAATTCTTGGCGGCCAGGTATGATCGCGATTGGCGTATATTAGAGCAAAAAAATTCGGGGTTCATTCACGAAACGTGGGAATTGCGAACCGGTGCAGGGACACTGTGCCCCAATTCGAATTCAGATCACTCGACCCCGTTGCCAAGGTCGGTCGCGTTATGTCAGCGTGGGCATAGCTTGACTGTTAATTTAAATGACTGTGAGAAAACAATATTATATTTATATTAATTAAAAAATTTTAAACAAATTCAATGTTCTTTCTAAGGTATTCCAAAATCTTCAAGGCGCTCCGAAACGTACATATAAAATATATTTTATGATAGAAATATGTATTTTTCAATGCCCATGTTTAGCTTATTTCTTTTATTGATCCAGAAACGTGGTTCTTTAATTATTCCCACTAGTGCATATATGCCCCTTCAAGATGAATTAAGGGTAATAATTCCGACATTAAGAATACTAAGTGACGATCATTTTTGGAGCACAGTTTATCCTCTCATGATTATATCTCATAGTTGTCAGATTTTTCGCTGTCAAATCGGAGAGAACTTTGTAGCCAGGCCGTTAATGGAGCATATGATCTGCGTCGCTGAGATTAGGCGATTCGGTATTTTGGAGCAATGACGTATCTGGAACGTCACATACGTAACAATAAGAATAACAGACATCGTGGCGATAACGTTGCGACGGATTATCGTGAAAGAGAAATGCAAAAAATGTTATTTGTATGTTACATAATCCGTTTCGGAGCTTATCTATATGTATGAATTTCATTTTCGGAATACTTCGAGGTTATGTCCATGGCCAGTGCGCAGAATCAGAGTGCGTGGCGCGTACGGACGAACGGAAAATATGTATCGGTGCAAAACTCGTGCCTCTTGTTGTTTAAAAGAAAAGCAATAAACCGTTGCAATACGGAACGGATTAATTAAAACTGATAACGGGTTTTCAGTTCGAGCGATGATATCGGTATCTATCGAAGTCGAAACGTATTCTTGCGACACGTTGCATTTCGTCGGATGGTTTTGCAAGGGAATTCGAGACGTTTTAAATTTTGATGTTCGCGAGCAATCGAATTACGTAACTAGCGGTGTGTATAGGTGAATCTTCGCGTGCTATTTCGTAATATGTACCTCATACGTGACAAGTCGAGCACGTGATAAAATATACATAATAGCATCGTACTCTTTTCTATTATTGTAATCGGTTTTTTGGACTGTTCTTTTCGACGACTTCATAATTTGTAACTCTATATGTATGTATATACGAAGTTATATATTTTATGGGTTTGATGTATATATGTTTAAAAATAATACCGCGAGGAGAATTTATTTATGACTTACTTGCGTTCGCATAAGCACGAGGAGACACTTTTAGTGTCAGGACAACTTGAGAGATTGTAAACGTATATCGAAGATAATAAATTTAGAATACATACTGGTAATTGAAAGCAACTAATTAAATGTTTGAACATAGTTTAACATGTATACAACGAGGTGCATAAACACATTGATATACAATGTCAAGTTCTTACGCGATACATAACATTGAAATTCATATGAGTATAGTATATAATCGTCTTTAGCTAACAATAGATTCACACTAAGGAATTGCGTTTATTTATAGCATACGTGCAATTGATGTTATTTATATTGTAACACTTATTATCGTTAACGATGTTTGACCGTATTTATCTACGTTAAATTATTTTGAATATTACCATGGCGTTCTGTGATTCGTACTTGATAAATATATACGCGTAGTCTATATTCCATTATCTTCTCAAATTTAGAATAGAATATTCTGTATTCTAGTTTATTTTATTTTATTTTATTTTATAAGAATGTAATAATAAGCAATTTACAAGTGTTATTTTTGTACAATATTTATATATTACTTCAATATTATTATATAAAAATAATGTCTTTACGTTACTGTAATATACAATACAATAACACATTCAATAATACATATTTTATGAATTTTTTCAAATGTTTATAAATACCCTTACCATGTCATTGCTCTAAAAGTCTAAAACATATAAAAGTTTGCTTTACATATTATTACACTTTTTGATACATCGATTGACAAATAAAATTAATTTACAGAGGCTAGCCATATTCACGGCAGACATCCAACAAAGATGCTTCAGCGTGAGCCCATTGAGCTTCGCCTCCGCAAAGGTGGCGATGTCCAAATTCGATTCGACGAGCTACCTTCCATACGATAAATTAGATGAAAATCTCAAAATTGTAAAGAAAAGGTATGGTATCAACTCTGTCAATTGATTTCTCTTTCATAGATTGTTTCCTATTTGGCTGACTAAAGTCTAACTTTATAAGTCATTATAAAAATATTATTCCTGTATGAGGATATTATAAAAGAATATTTTCCCATACGATATTCAAAAGAAGAGAACGCAATTTCTTCTTGAAATGGCCAAGAACTTCCAAAAGCATATGTTGATTTATGTATAATGTATTCTACACACTATGTTCCATTTAGCTTGGTCACTTTAAGTCTCATTTCTTGTTATGATTGGGACAAATGTCAGAGAAGACATTATTTGTTTGAAGAGAAGAAATATTCTGAGAAGTAAATAATTTTTATCTCGAGGTCGTACGTTTCGCGACGCGTCATCGACATTTGTCTTAACGAGATAAGATATTTTCATTAACAGTACAATACATGTATCTCACTAAAAGGCAAATTTAACCAGGTACATAGTTAACCTTCAGATGACCTTAAATAATAAACTCGTCTTTATGCGAAAGAAATGAAATTGCAGAAAACTCAAATGAGTATCCATTTTAATTCAAAAGTTATTCGAAACGATCTCTGTTAATTTCCAAATAACTTATTTATGTGCAAACACTTAAAACATCAAGTTCAACGTATATAAATCAGTAAATACTATATAGTTTCTTTCATATAAAACTAGTTTTTGTTATTCAATATCATTTGGAGGTCAACGTACTACATATCATTAAATTCGTCTTTATATGAAGAAATGTTAATTAGAGTACATACTCCCAATAAAAATAATTCGATTACATCACAAATTTTACTAGAAAATATTTGCTCCTTCCAAACAGATAATATTCCTTTCTGACATTCGTTCCCATCGTAAAAAACAAGTGAGACGTTCAAAGTAATCAATTTAGCAGAGCCATCTTGTATAATACAATTACATAGAATATCGAATAGTATATAAACAAAAATATTGGTTCTCTTTTAATACTTTTTATAAATAAGGCATTGGCAAACAGCACCATATGTATATCAATATTGTTGCATTGTCGCAGGTTGAACCGGCCATTGACTCTTTCAGAAAAAGTTTTGTACTCTCACATCGACGAACCCAGCAAGCAAGATATCACCCGTGGCACAAGCTATCTTAGGTTACGACCAGATCGCGTGGCCATGCAAGATGCCACTGCCCAAATGGCCATGTTGCAATTCATCAGCTCTGGTACGTAACAACCTTGCGATATCGGGTCTTCAATATCACTAAAACAGTTTTTGTGGACAACGTTTCGCCGAAAACAATTTTGACCTTCCTTCTATATCATCGATGTATGTAAATATACACAGTGCACGGTATGTTCTTCGATAAACATGTTTCCTTAGAGTGAGTAGCATTGTTTACTTTGAATTTCGTTTACATATGCTCTTTAATTGTAAGGAAGGTAAAATACCACGGGAAAGAAGTGTACTATATATTTTGTTTAAAAATTCTTGTATTTTCTGACAAAACTTATTTTCATATAAAATTTTTATACGAATACTTCGCAAATGACTTACTACTATTGCTTGTTTAAATTGTACTTAACTATGATTACAAGATCAAGAATTTAAAATTAGATTATCTAAAATAATTATTTATAATCCTATTAATAAAGAATAATTATATAGATTACTAGATTCTTTCATGAACTTTCAATAAGTTAATGTTTAGTGACTGACCAGTTTATACAGAAACGTTATGTTATATTTCTATTACATAATCAAGAACTGTGTACGTATGATAATTGCAAGATAATTTACGTAACTCGCTTCGTCCAGGAAAATACGTGTCAATAAACAGATCGTTTAGGTGTATGTACTGGGCGTGTCTCAAATAATCGACCAGATTTTGATATCGTATGCCATTCTTTCTAAGGATAAAAGAAAGTCATGTAAATATACATACATCACGCGTAAAGTTAGTAGTATACTATAAATCCTGCATTCCGGTAGACGTAAATATTTATGGTAGAGCATGTCATTCAGATATTGAAGGCATCTTACGTCGTAGTACATCATTCATAGCTTGAAAGTTTCATAGTCAAGCCAATCTTATCAGTATACTTATTTTAATATCGTGACAAAATGTGAGAAAATTGAGGAATTTTTAGGAAAAGTGGGGAATTTTTGAACGTCTTCCACAGTCTCCAAAATGTCGGTGCGATACTTGTATCGTTGCAAACCGAAATAATTTTCGGGAATTTTTTAAACTAATTTTTATCCATTATACACTATCAGAAACAAAAAATGTTTATATTTTAAAATGGAGAACTTTCCGAATTCATACTCGTTTAACCTTTTTTATTCTTAGAGAGCGTAGAGTACGATGGCAAAGTTTAATCACGTACTCCAAACACATCTTGCATAATCTTCGGAAATATTACATTCATGATAACAAGCTTACATGTATATATGCATTATTAATTAATTAGATTACTTTTTACCTACTCATCATATTACATATTGTGCAAATTCTTCGTATATATTAAAACACAGAAAAACGTACACTTGCACAAAATGAAATATTAATATTACTATATTTAAATATTAGTCTTACTATATACATTTTCCATATTTTTCGATATCGATGCATGGCACAAATCCATCAATGACTTAGAAAATCGATCAAAATTGTGATTTTAACCCGCGACGTCTGTTACGTTTCCCCCAAAATGCCGTCCGTTTCTATTCTCATTTTCAAATTGCTTCCCACAGGATTACCAAAAGTCGCCGTTCCCTCTACCATCCACTGCGATCACTTGATCGAAGCTCAAGTCGGCGGAGATAAGGATTTGAAACGAGCGAAGGACATCAACAAGGAAGTCTACAACTTCTTGAAGACAGCCGGCGCCAAGTACGGCGTCGGTTTCTGGAACCCTGGCTCCGGTATTATCCATCAGATCATTCTCGAGAATTACGCTTTCCCCGGATTGCTGATGATCGGTACCGACTCGCACACACCTAACGGCGGTGGTCTTGGCTGCTTGTGCATCGGTGTCGGTGGCGCTGATGCTGTCGACGTGATGGCCAACATCCCGTGGGAATTGAAATGCCCCAAGGTGATCGGGGTGAAGCTGACCGGAAGCTTGAAGGGATGGACCAGCCCCAAGGATATTATCTTGAAAGTAGCTGGCATCCTCACGGTGAAAGGAGGAACGGGAGCGATCGTCGAGTACTTTGGCCCTGGTGTCGACAGCATCAGCTGCACTGGTATGGCGACTATTTGCAACATGGGCGCCGAGATCGGTGCGACTACCTCGATCTTCCCTTACAACTATCGTATGCAGGATTACTTGAAAGCAACCGGTCGCTCGGAAGTCGCCGCAGCGGCGGATCAGCACAAGAGCCTCCTTACCGCGGACGCGAACGCCAAATACGACCAACTCATAGAATTAGACCTCTCCACGCTGGAACCACACGTGAACGGACCGTTTACACCTGATCTCGCTCATCCCATCTCGCAATTAGGTAAGTGGATCGCGAAGAAGACAGCGATTGTTTGCATTTCATTATTAACCCTTTCCGACCTGGCGTCCACAATTGATGACACAACATTTAACAACACTCAAACATTATCGACACTATCGTTTAGGGCGAATGTACTTATTTATGCACACGAAGAAAGACCAGTTTTCCTCGAAACCTACACTATTAGGATTTTTCTTTTTTAATTTTTCCATACTAATTTTAGTTATCCCTAGTTATCCCTAAAAATTAAACTAATAAACCAAACTGTGCCATACAATATTTTCGAATATAATATAAATTATATATACAAAATCAGTTAATATGATGTTTAGGGATGAGTAGGCAAGTGATTTGTATAAGTTTCAGATATTTTCAATGTTTAATCCATGCGAATTGTACACATAGTACTAATTTCTGCAGCAAAAATAATTTACCATTTATAATATAGCGTTATAGTTACAAAAGTGAAATTCTTTGTAATCCGAATTCGAAGATCGACGAAATAATTATAAGAAGTATCGATCGCGTACAATGATCAAATATTAACCGTGATAATTGCAACCAGGTGCGAACGCCAAGAAGAACGGATGGCCGAATGAGATCAAGGTCGGTCTAATTGGTTCCTGCACGAACAGCTCCTACGAAGACATGGGCCGGTGCGCGAGCATCGCCAAACAAGCCATGGAACACGGTTTGAAATCGAAGGCCGCGTTCAATGTCACACCCGGATCCGAGCAGATCCGCGCCACCATCGAGCGTGACGGAATCGTAAGTTTCCTTTTAGTATGTCAACCTGTAGCTCGGTTAGAAAGCTTGTAGATAATTCGCAGTTGCACAGTTTTTGAATCGTTGCCAAGCATTGGTACATGTCACTTAGTAATGACACTGCGACCCACGCCAATTCTTAATTTGGCTCGGATCGATGTATTTTGACAATGTGAAAAGAAAAAATAGGGACTCAGGCATTCGCACGGTATAGTTTGTTTAGAGTATACCGCTGGGTGTATTCGTAAACTTTCCGAGAGAAAGGATATTACGTAAAATTGGTGTACGTGAGCTCTGGGAGCAGCTCTCGGTCTCCTTATCATCGTCAAAGTATTCTCTCTTTCTATTAATACATCCCTCCCAACGTTTCTATGAACGGCGAGGACTGTCTTGAAACGTTAAAATTTGATTATGGGTCGACTTTGTGCTTTCAAAGCGGATTTCAACTCGACGAATGAGAAAATGCTTTTATAGAAGTATTATAATATCGTTTTTGCGGAAATCGGAATAGATATTTCTATTTAATAACATATATCTATATACTTTTCGGATTAAAATAAAATAAAAGAATAGAAATTCCAGTTAAATAATGTATAATTAAATATTTAACTGTCAGACATTTCGACCGATGCCGAATTTATTTTTAAATATACTCAACTATCAATAATATCTCCGTTAAAATTTTTGGCGACAAATATTGAAGGAAACTAATTATACCGATAAATTGATTTCCCTTTCCTTCATCTAATTCGAAACATATACCACGATGTATAATGGATAGAACTATTGGTAGTTCTACTATCAAACCAAATGGTATTGCATAAAGGCTGTTTATACTAGCCATTCCAAAGTATCATCATTAACAACAAGCATGATATTTAATCGTTGCAACTCGTGGACTAGGGAAGATAAGATAATAACGTAATACTCGTGAAATAGACGAACGCTCGACTTGAGACAAAGTTTCTGACAAAGAGACTTATGGATGATCGTTAAAGACAGCTTTTGTAATTTAGGCGAAAACCCTCCGCGATTTCGGAGGTACTGTCCTTGCCAACGCTTGCGGACCTTGCATCGGCCAATGGGACCGCCAAGACATCAAGAAGGGCGACAAGAACACAATCGTCACATCGTACAATCGTAACTTCACAGGTCGTAACGATGCGAATCCTGCGACCCACGCCTTCGTCACCAGCCCTGAACTCGTCACAGCCCTTTCTATCGCTGGCCGATTAGACTTCAACCCCGCGAAGGACAAATTGAAGGGCAAAGATGGAAAGGAATTCCTTCTAAAAGATCCATTCGGTGAGTATCAAGTTCCCTAAGAAATCAACTAATTGCTGGAAATTTTGTAGGAGCATATGTAGAACGATGGAAACGATAAGCGTCTGATATCTAGTTACGGTGCGGTAATTCGCGAATAATTACGCATGAGTCATAGTTCATGGCGTCTGTTTCACAACGCGTCGGTGCTGTCTGCGTACAATTGATTAATATTGTTTGTAGTGTTGAAGATTAAATTGCAGGTTGAATAGTTTGCTGTAGGATCTTCTATTTTGTTACAAGATATTTTCTATCAATTTCTGTGTTATCAGTTGAGCTTTTCATAGATCTATGTTGAAATTCAATAATTTAAAAATTTTAATATTAATCATATCTAGCAAAAATGTTCTCCTTGTTAATACACGAAGAATGTAACATTCTCAATTGCATTTACACTTAACTATCTTCTAATTCGTTTATCTATGTATAAAAACTTGAAGTACATGATTTTGTTTCACACCCACAATATATTTTCTTAGTATAAATCTTTACTTTTTCGTATTATATGAACTTCAATAGTATACAGGAAGAATGTAATGCTTGTGAATCGTAGAAAGTAATTATACTCTATATATCTGTAACACAAAAATTGGCCACTTGGAAAAATGAAAATATTCTACGTTAATATTTCAGGCGATGAACTCCCAAGCCGTGGCTTCGACCCTGGCATGGACACGTACGATTCACCTCCAGCTGATGGCAGTAAGGTAAAGGTAGACGTGGACCCGAAAAGTCAAAGATTGCAGCTCCTGGAACCTTTCGACAAATGGGACGGCAAAGATCTCACCGATATGACTGTTCTGATCAAAGTCAAGGGCAAGTGCACCACCGATCACATCTCCGCCGCCGGTCCCTGGCTCAAATATCGTGGCCACTTGGACAACATTTCGAACAACATGTTCATTGGGTACGTCTAACAATTTACTGTAGAACTCCATTTATTGGAACGAAATATTCGTGAATGTCTTTTATAATAGAAGCACGCTAATAATAACAAGTCTTAATAATAGCAGTATACTAAGAAAACATGGAACGAACAGTCGGATCATGTGTTTATACGAGGAAAACAAAATAAAGACTATACTTACAGTCAGTGTAATAAGTATTCGTACAGGAACCAATTCAAAATAAAACTTCATATATTTATTTTATTAGTAAATGTTAGGGGAAGAAATAATTAACCAACATTCCTACATATTTTTAGAGTAGAATTTGCGTAAATTAAGTTTTATTATTTTTAATCTTAACCTCTTATGCATTTCTTTTCTTATTAATTTTATTTTAAATTGGTTGCTGTACGAATACTTACTTACACTGACTGTAATTGTTATTGGAATCTTACTACCAGTGTATAGCATTCACTTTCAGCAGTCTAAATAACACTCGAAACATTTTCATAAATCCCACAGCGCCGTGAACTCCGAGAATGGCGAAGTAAACAAAATCAAGAATCAATTGACCGGCGAATGGGCAGGCGTACCTGACGTAGCCCGACATTACAAAAAGAATGGCGTGAGATGGGTGGCCGTTGGTGACGAAAACTACGGTGAGGGTTCGTCCCGCGAGCACGCTGCCTTGGAACCAAGGCATCTGGGTGGCCGTGCTATAATCGTCAAGAGCTTCGCGCGTATCCACGAGACCAACTTGAAGAAACAAGGACTGTTGCCTTTGACCTTCGCTAACCCCAGCGATTACGATAAGATTCAGCCGACGGACAAGATCAGTCTCCTGGGATTGAAGGATCTGGCGCCTGGCAAGGTATATCTCGATCGCGATCGTTTATTTATAATTTAATTGGAACCAGGGATCGACAATAACAGTTACTTAAAAAATTTATATAGAGAAATACATTGAGAAAAATTCTTTTGGTATTTAAATTTAACTCATTTGCGGTCATTTTATGTATTTTGTGAGGGAGATGCGCAAAGATAATGAGGTTTGGAAATAATTAAAACTACAGATAACATTTGCGAGCAATAAAAATAGTTCCAACTAAAACCTTTTAAATCCAAAAAAGAATTATTATTCTAGAATATTCTGGTTACATCAGGGTCCCTGGTTAAAGCTACTGTATCCAACATAATGTGTTTACTTTATGTTGGGACAGTATTACAGTCACTTTAACTGATTTTAACCACCGCTCGATTCCTTCCGTTACGTTTGCAGCCAGTGAAAGCGGAGATCAAGCACAAGGACGGCAAAGTTGACTCCATCACGTTGAACCACACCATGAACGATCAACAAATATCCTGGTTCAAGGCAGGCTCCGCTCTGAATCGCATGAAGGAGATTGCCAGCGGAAAGTAAACGCGTTTTGTCATCCAGGAAGTGCGAAGGACCGTCATCGTTCGCAAAGACGTGCACTATCGTAGCTAGTTGCGTATATACCGATAGCGGATCGCGAATGAAGATACGTTTCGGGTACGATACTTTAATTCTCCAGGTAGATTTCTGTAATCGTGAACATCGTCGCACGTGGATTTCACGTATCGTGCCGATCGCGAAATAACGTCTGTGGTGTCGAGAGGATCGCTTGAAACGAGCGTGTTCAACGCTGACGATCAGTGTTGGGTAAATTTATTTTCTTCGCGAAATACCTCAACACGTCCACCATCCGTTTCGTCGAAGAATGATAAACCGAACCGGGAGAAGCGCGTATCTAGCAATGTTTTTAGTACACGTTAACTCTAGGAAAGGATTAATCGAATCGTTTAGACTGCCCTTGTTCATTTATCGCGACTGATATCGCGCCGTGAGAGTTCGACTGACGACGTTTCCTGGCGAAAATCGAACAGGGGTAATTTCCATGCGCGACGACGGGGTCGGATATGCAACTTAGGCGTGCCAACGTGTTCATTTTTAAGTCTTGTACAGCCTACCGATGGCACCCTAAGCATTGCGTGTGTTCCTGTCACGCGCGTGTCTCTCGTTTTTCGCTCGTTGAAGTCTTGTGTATATATTGTTCATCAAGTAGCCAACATTCTGATTATACAGTTTTCTAGATACGACTAATGAGATATAATGTATGATCGCTGTTATTACTAAAGATCAAATAAAATGAATTTCGCAGCGAGAAGAGTGTTGTGTATTTTATTGATCGAAGGTTACTGGCGGGAAAGGGTGTATCAATTTGAATGTGTATAATATAAATCGTATATTAGAAATGATACTTTAATATATTCTTTAATAGACGAGGTATATTTCCATTGATTTATAATATTTGAATAATTAAAAGATTGCAAATAGACTGGTTCCCATTTCCCATAATGAATATAATATTTGAGTCATGATATTTAAATAATTCGAAAATTAGAATGATTGCTAATGCACTTATTCCTATTTGCAGTGTATGTTACGTTCAAGTAATAGTAACATTTGTTGACAGTATCGATTTCTGCAATTATTAACATCAGCTGTCATTGCAGAAATCTGTATATTAGTTGAGAAAATTTAGAAAACTATCCTTGTTTCGTTAATTGAAAATTCATTATATTGTCGGGAATAATATCATTGAAGAAATGTTTCTAAATGCTGTAAGTTTTCTACCCCTATACACGTTACATGTGTTAACTAAAAGCAAAGTATCAGTTGAAGGTAATCATAATTTATACAATTTTCGAAATGCTAGTTATAATTTTGCAGCAGAATAACTAAATATTTTCATTAATTAGTTGCAGGATTATAGAAATCAGAAATAGAGAAGAGACGTCGCGATATTTTAATAATCAAAAGTTTGAACATTAAAGGTGAGTTTAAAGTATAACAGTAAAAGTTTAAACATATAATTCAAACTATGCTTGCAACAAAATCTTTTAGGTAATTATTTCAAAGCTGCGTCATCAGAATGATGAAATCGTTTGATTAATTAGCACGTCTAGTTGCAGTAATCTCTGAGCTGTGATGCATAGGATAGATTATTGATCAAACGGATATGGATCACTTATCCCTTTCGACAGGAAGACAGATTGCCCATTCCGATATCAAACGACGAGTGATCTATGGAAACACTAACTTGTCCAGAGCCTATCGATTGGAAATCAGCCGTCGGGTTTCAAACAAGAATCATCTCGTCGCGCATGCGTTTCGACTATTCGTAATTATTCAAACGGTACACGTATTTAGAAAGATGTGTAGGAACTTACACTCTCTTGACATTTACTTGTTTCGATATATAAATACATTATTTTTATTGCTTATTCTTTTAATACACGAAATTGATACTCTGTTTGCTACAAAATACTCTTAATCGTTTCTTTAAATTTTCATTATAAATATAAATTTGCAATTAAATCTAAAGCTACATAATTGGAATAAGAATTAAAGTAAATAACTCTGCAACGACATACGGGACTCAATCAGTTCTTGAATTTTTCATAATAATTGTCGCGACGTCTAGACGACCTTAACTGACAACGCTGTCACAAACACGTGAGACAATTAAATAAATTGAGTGCTGCTTTCTGAATATTAAGAGGAACACCTTCTCTGCGCTACCTTCTCTACCCCCATCCACGGACTCATTCAAGTGTTCAGCACACCACATGTTCCACGTAAAACTGGGGCGCATGCTTCGTTACCACGACGACGGATTCTCATAAACGTATACAAAGCGGCCGAACAGTGTAAATTGTCGCACGTTGGTTATGATCTTTCCATTCGAAAGACTTTCTTGTTCCATAAGCTCGTGCTTTATCTAAAGCTGCGTTTGACGAGACTCCTCGAGTTCGTCATGTCGGTCGAGGGTGAATTTTGTTTATCGATCACCGGTTCAATCGAACACGCGGAATTCTACGACATCAATAACGCCTACTGCAAATACGGATTTCATTTTGGACCCGAATGGAGTGTAATCGCTGTGAGTTTTCTTTATTTTTTATTTTACAATTCGAACCCTGCGACTACCAGCGAGCGCGGTTTCCCACTGGGAATATCAGCCCCACGGCGACGGTCTATTGGCTTATAAAAATTCCGTTAGGGTATCGAGGAGGGTCTGACGCAGATGTGTAAGTGCAGCAGTGACCCACGAAATCTGGCAGTTTGGAATTTCCCCCTAGAGATCACGTTCAGAAGCACCAATCCTCATGGATGTAAGTTTGAAAAGGTGATGACTATTTGACTAGAGCTATTTGCATGGATTATTCGCGAGAATTACATTATATTTATCTTTTTCTGTATTTAAAAATTGTACTAAAATTTATAATGTATAATAAAAGTTATTTAAAATCCATGGCAACTTTATAATTCTTTGTTGCAACTTCACATTCAACATTCGATCAATTTATTTCTAATTATGAATTCTAATATCTTATTTTCTGATTTGACTATTTTTAATAAAATTTATTTTACTTGATGAATGACGAAACGAACACTTATTTATACACAAACAAACTTTATTTAAGTTTCAACTCTGTATTTAGGATAACCCCTAGAATTAAAAAATGTTAGAAAAAATATTATACAATAAAACATTACGTGTTAAATATTATTACAGCATAATATAAATTTTATAAATACTTAAAAATTAATATTGTATAAATATATACAAATTTTAATAATACTAAAAGAATTCATAAGTTTCAATCGCATGTTTATATTCTCAAGATGATTAACGGTGAAGTTGAAATGTAAATGATTGTGCTTACGTCAGAGTGGTTAGTCATTCTTTTGAATAATGATTAGAACGTGAGATAATTTAAATATCTTTCTTCATTAAGGACGGAAAATAAGGTATACTTACGTCTTCTATGAAAAAGTGATCTATGGCGAATTTAAAATTCGATGTTGGATTTTATATATTGGAATAATCTACATATTTGAAAGATACCCAGTAGATAAAATTTCTCCATTATTTCTTTAACAAATGATGTTTTAGGGCCACAACTAATAATGTCGATTTACGGCCTGGATATATTCGGACACGACGTCATCAGAGGTTATGGAGTGTGTCATTTGCCGTTAACAACAGGTCACCATGAGAAAAGGTATTAGGCTATCGGGTTGAGTAATAAATTTGTTTGAACTGTTTAATAGGATATCAAGTCGAATCAATGATGTTTAATTAAGAAACTTCGTCAATGTTGTTTATTAAACACTCGTTATGTACTCTGTTCGCCTTCAGGGGTAAATTAATAATTTCGGATACTATTAACAATGCTAATTGCGATTCCTTGGTTAGAAAACTCCCTGGTTTTGCATCCAAACAATTTTTCCAGTCATTTTCACAGTTTCGCGTGACATTGTCAGTTCGTTCTTGTTTACCCATTCCTTCATCTGCTTTACGTTCATGTGAAGACACAATTTCTTGTCATCTGTAACAATTAAACTCAGAAATGGGAGATGTTGTTCACGCGCAACACGAAGTCGAGCCAGCACGGAGGCAGAGACAGTAATCCACTGGTTTTTGTTCTCCTAGCTCGGTCGATGTCAAATCCACGAGCCAAGTTTCTGCACCTTTTCCATTTTATTTAAACGTCGAAATACAATTGGCCGAGAACAGTCCATTTTTTGGATCATCTTTCTGACGATAGTTACAGATAATTAAACACAAGAGCCATCAGATGATCTTTATCGAAATCATTTGGTTAATCACGACATGATTCATCATTCTTTTTTTTTTACTTATTTATTTAAAAAATGTTGGAATTTAATTTTTACAATTCCTTGTATAATTACAATATTCTTGCTAAGTTAGCTATTATACACATAAATCAGATGACTTTGTTCTTGTTAGGCGCCTGACTTCTCCGTTATTGGCCTGACTTGTTAATCTATTCGATAAGATATTCGAATCAGTAAATTTATTCTGTTACGGAAATAGTGATGTATATCCTAGAACCCAGTATAGTTTTTTAACGTCATTTATGGAAAAATTTTCTTTCCTGAAACGCGAAAATCGTTTTTGAGCTGTTCCATCAAAAATATAACCATCTCTGTAAACTATAGATTATTCCAGTTTCATCTGTTAGTTCTTTCGAAACAGAACAGAACATACAAAATCACACAACAGTAGGAACAAAAAGCTACCTCATGACGTACAGCTTCTGTTCAATATGAAATTAAAACGTGTACTTACGGGCCAACTCCGAGACTCCAAGCATTCCGATCGCGGAATTAATTTTCTCAAATTAATGGCAATTCTAAAACACAGAAATTCCGTAGGGTGTCTGTATACGTGCCCGAGTCCTCTTCAACGTTACAACGATTTGCAGCCTGGTTAACCGGTAGAAGACCAGAACTAATTGACCCGGCGATATTGGCTTCTGGCGGCGGAAGAGAACGTAAGGCAATATTTGGAACGATTTTACATCGGTCCACTGTGACGTACTACTGACATTAAATTAATTGAACCCGCGGGGATTTAGCGTATTTAGGACAGTCGATACGCCGGACATATTAACATGCATATGCTGTAATAGTTGATTGAATTAGACTATTGCATATATCAAATTCTCCAGCTCCTGCCAACTGATCCATTTAATATTAGTTTTTGCTGTCTACTGTGCTGCCACGTTACCAAAACGCTAGGAGTTTCATTCCGTAGAAATAATATTTTCAGTTCACTTTTCATGGAAAAGATAAATGTAGAAGAGATTTCCCTATAACATGGTTATGCGTTACGCGTTGTATGAACTGTGATTATTGCCATGGCAAATTCTACTTTCTTTCGAGAAAACGATTTATTATTGTACGTAAGGAATCTTTTCTATTTTATTAAAATTTAACAAATTATACAATTATTAATTTGTAATTTTCTTTCTATTATTTTGAATTTATTTTAATAAAATAATTAATTATGTGAGATAAAGAAAAAAAGTAGCCTCCAAATTGTCATATGATAAAATTCGTTACTCTTCATGTATGTGTTTTCTTGGAAATAATTTTTAACCAAAGACATCAAGAAGAAGAAGATACTTCTCTTTTACATTTTAGAGTGCTTAATTTAAAGTGTTTTTCGTTAAATTACTGACGCCTCCCTTTTCCCATTGAGGTTTCGAGACTTGATCTTGAGAGATCTTGAGTCTTAGATCCTATTACTTGGATAAGCAAATTCTTTATACTGTCTGTTACGTCGAGCTA